TATCTCATTCAGTGCCAGCGGAAACCCAAGGGGCTGTTACGAGACGAGTGGATAGACTCAGGATTGTGGTGGTCGGGAAAAGCATCTTTCAAAGCTACCCACAGGTTGATGTGTGTTGGTTTTGGGCAGTAGTGAAATGCTTAGCTTCAGGCTTCAGTGAGATGTGCTGCAGTGTCAGCAGGGCCCGCTTGCTTGCAGAATCATCAAGACAACCATTGGCTGCAACTTTCAGGATTGCCTTTCTTCTACTCACAAAAGCCAGATGTTTGGAGTACCTAAATACTTCGAGTTGACAAGAGCCTACCGGCCCCAAATCCCATCCTCTCGCCATCCTCTCGCGTCACACGTAGCTCCGCGTAGCTCCGCGTCGCGTCGGTGAAAGGCGGAGTGCTGCGCCGCCGGCCACGCGCGGATTCGGCCGCTGCCGCTGCCGGAGGCCGTGAATCTTAGCCGAGGCTTCGAGTGGTGGCACAGCTCCCAAGACAAGAGGACTGGGGCTGGGCGGGCTGAGGACGGCCGTTGGTGGAAAAGATGTATCTGTTGAGCCCGTTGGTATGTCTTTTTGTTGTAAATGCACCTCATGTTCTTTTTTGGATGTGGAAGGAGCTAAGATGAGTGTTTTTGGGGGGGAGGGAAGCCTTTTCGGTTGCGATGGGCGGTGTGATGGACTGATCATCTCTGTAATCTTTCAAGCAATGAATGTTTGTTGAGCTGCTTTTCTCACTCGGAGGTAATCCAAAAGCTCAGGCTGTTTTCTTTTCTTGGCTTTCAGCTGCACATGCTCCACACTGCCACACAACACGATGATGTCAGGATTCAATGGAGAGATCATCCAGCGCTGGATGAACGGCAACTGAGATGGGAGAAGGAGATGGAAAATGTGAGCAATGTGATACGAGTGACTTGGAACAAACGAGTGTTTCACACACATCATCTTCACATGTCACCTTCCAAAGGAGAAGCAACAAGTCCCCTGGCATCTAGCTCTCCGAACTGTAGAAATGGATCTCTCTCCGGAGAACGTGTCGAACTCGGTTGTTCGGGTGTCCGAGTTCTAAGGAGAAAGTTCAAGACCGGGATCTCACGGTGCATTTCTTCAAATCTGCGATGGAGGTCACCTCAGGAGAGGTGAAGGGGTACATCACTGGAGAAGACCACTATGTTTCCTGGCAGGGTCGCAGCTGCGGCCACTTGTGTTTTTCCAGACTTCAGGTGATTCATGTTTATTCTCAAATGTGTTCAGTTCCTTGAAAGGCAAACCAGTTTTGTTATCAACTACGGGAGGAGGCCGCCGCTTAGGTTGGAGGCCATCGCTTGTAGTATTTGTTATCAACTACGGATTCTTCTTTGTCCAAGGCACTCGACATGCTCCGAAGCACATCGCCCGCGCCGATCTTCCTGGATATTGGTGCGTGCCTTGGGCGGAAGACACGACCCCGAAAGAAGCTACTAGGTTGGAGGCCATGACTACTAGTAGCTAGAAGCTACTAGTAACAAGGTTCATACTAGTAGCAAGAAGACTCTGTGGGTTTGGTCATCTTCCCTTTGGCAAGCCACAGCTGTGGGGCTTCAGTTCTTCTGTGTTTCTTTTGTGCTTTCTTTATAGATATCTTCCAAAGCCCAGGAACATGGGAATGGTGAGTATTTTGCTGGCGAAGAAGTGGCCCAATGCCCGGATCCTGGCTGTCACTTGATGACTTTTTGCGTGGATCGTGGGTGGGAAAAGGTACACGAAGTGCCTTCAGCGCACAGCTCTTCAAGGCTTTTTCGTGTGGTCCTCTTTGGGGTAATGTTTGGATCGGGAGATGGATTTGCGGATAGAAACAGCAAGATCCAATCCTCACCCTCCAGAAGGAAAAAGAAGAACATCCAAGAGAGAGAGAGAGAGGGGTAGAGCAGCCGAAGCTTTGGTACGACTCAAAAAAAGCCTTCCTGTTCTTCACAAAACCTTGGCAAATCCCCAAGCTGGATGTGTTCTTCCAAACCGTAACCATCCCTCCGCCCAATCCGTTCACCAGCACATGTGGCTGCACCAGCTCCAAGGTGGAACCAGCTCCAACGACCTTCCGCTATTTGCTGTGGAACCTCCGGGCCAATGACGTTCTGGCGCAAGTCTGGCCACTGAACCTGGCCGTCTCAACAGCTCGTCGCTCCGTGCGGATGTCGCACCTCTCCAGTGGACACGTTTGGACGGGCCAGGTGCCGGCGAATGCGTGGCTGGGCGGACAAGTCATGGAGCAGAGGTGGCGTTTCAACATGTATATAGTTATTTTATGCCCAAACATTGAGTCAAAAAATGAAGAATCATTGCTGTGATCCATTTTCAGGTCTTGGACTCCCTCGCACGTGCTGAAGAGCGACTCCGTCTTTGACGTCTCGACGGCCTCCTTGCCGGAGCTGCTGGCAGGTTTCGGGATGGGCCACCAAGTGGATTTCCTGAAGCTGGATGCCTGGCAAGGAGGAGAGGAGAATGGGAAACCCATGTGAGGATGAGTAAGAGATGATAGTTTGGATTGATAAAGTTGGTTGAAAAAGCATTGAGAGGGGTGAATCGCTTTTGGAAAATGAAACAAAACTTGAACCTCGTCAGGGAGGTAAGAAATAGATCACAAGCCAGATGTGGGAGATTTCATGTTGAATTCTGTATGGACCCACGAAGATGCTCACTGTGTTGGATGCTCACTGGAATCACGGTTTCGGTGGTGAGAACTGAACATCCAATTGCTTGTTGCTGCTGGCTTTGATTGGGGTTTTGATCCGCATCCACATACTTATCGACCAATCCCTATGAGCATTTGCTTCACTGCCACTCCAGCTGGCATGCGAATTCCAAGGACTGCGAAGGCTGTGAATGGGAAACTCGGATCAAGCACGAAGTCGGGTGCTTGTCAGGCGCACTGGTCAGGCAAAGAACTAGTGTCAACCAGTACACAAAAAACACGGTCAAGGGCAAGATCTGAGTTTAGGAAGCGGCAAAGCCAAACAAAGCGCCTCAAAGAATGTCCTTTCGCTTTGAAGGTTTGCAGCAAAGGTGGCTCCAGTTTGGATAATGGACAAAAATCCAACCCTCACGAGCATTCTCACACATGTGTGATGATGTTTGTCGAATCGACAGGGTAAATCGTTGGTCCTTAGAATGTTGAGTGATTAGACGCGTACAATGTGTGGAAAGTGCAAGAGATGAAGGACAAGAGTCCTATGCACAACTGACTGGATGGGTCCATCATGGTTTATCGTTTTGTTCCATCTTAAGCTAGTTCGTTGAGCCATCGCCGGAGCCATCTCAGGAAATCTTGTCCAAGTGGAGCTTCTTACAACACCTCTTTCAAGACGTCTCGGTGGAACTTCACAACGGGGCCTTCTACAACATCAGCTTGTTGATTGCTGAAGAGGATCGAATCTCGGATGCGAGTCATGCGTTTCTTCCTGTTTCGGTTCGATGGTGTCGTTTTGCAAAAAGGGAGCCACCTGGGAGGTTCGAATGCTGACACATAGTATGGATGTGCTATGGTGGAAAGTAGCCAGAAATCACCAATCACGCGCATTTAGGTACGAATTCGTGATACCATTCTCGTTCCTTTCGTTCCCATGTGGTGCTTTGATTTCATGTTCCGTCCCTCCAGCTGCGCCTGCAGGAATCAAGTTGCAAGAGCAGGTGTTGAAGAGTGAACTGTGCCAACACCGTGTGACCTATTTCTTCGGGGTGAAGTGCCGGTCCTACGGCGAAGCCGGAAACTTGGGTGCTGGCGTGCCTTCGGCGAACCACTCGTAGTTCTCCTTATGGTGAAGATCATCCAACGTCAGCTGTACCCTGCTGCAGCTGCTGCAGCTGCAGGAGATCGAATCCATGTTGGTGGACCATGAAGGGTTTGATGAGTTGAACGGCTTTTCATGGTGCAGCTCATGCTGTCGGAGCTGACGTGCTACGTAGTGACGCCCGCTAGTGATTTGAGGATCAAGTTTCGCACCAGCTGAGCTGCTGAGAAGATGAGAAGATAGAAGGGATGGGCTTGGGGGTGGCAGGGAATCCAAAACCAGCTTCGATGTCCATGTCTCACACACTTTAAGCGCAAATTCCAAAGGTAAACAGCCTGAAAAGAAACTGGTTTGTTGAAAAACTCCATCCATGGTCTACGTGCAGGTTCCTTGTGTTGCGTTTTTTTCCAGGGAGTGTTTGAGCGTATGTGGAAACGACAGCTGAACACTGGATGGCACACGCATACACCTAGGAGTACGTGACCTGAAAAGCCCTGAGATTCTTTTTCTCGGCAGGTGCCACGGAGATTGACCCATGATGAGAAGGCTTGGAAGTTTGTTGAGAGTTTCCAGAAGAGTGCAAGCAAGCATGTTGATTTGATTCAAGACTGATGTTTATAAGAGTCGTTCTTTCGTTTGGATTGCACCGGAGTTTCAAGACCCATGTGCCGGAGTGCTACTGGGGCTTGCCTTTGCAGCCATTCTTGGCTCATCGGTGAATATGCCCTCAGTTTGCTAATGCTGTTGCGGCTACGTGCCTCAACATCTTTTCATATCCTTGCCCTATGCATCAGGGGATCCTTAACGGTTCGCACGGAAAAATTCTTCAAGCTGCAGGCCGAGATGGGGAATTCAACGTCTCCGTATTTTTTGGTGTCAATTAGGCAGCAAAGACAGCAAGGATGTTGCCAGGTCACGCAAAGAGCCGACAAAACAGGTTCTCTTGCAGTCTTTCAAAAAAGACGTGTTTGTTTCCCCAGTCCCATAAGCAGTCACCCACCAGCCACCAGACGATCCAAAGATCTTCAACTTGTCAGACCCGCAGGTGGAGATCAACGAGCCTGAAGAAGGCCCATGCCAGACGGTCTGCGTCAAACCATCTGCAACGTCAAGCGCACAAGGAGTTTATCAGCTCCTTGTGAGTCCAGCTGTTTCACAGCTCTGGACACGTCTTGACCATGCTCACTACGTGGTCAGCACCAACAAGGAGTGCAACGAAGGAGCGCAGGCCGCTTGGTGGATCCTTTTTAGAGGCCATAGCCAAGGTTGAGAGATGTTTAGAGATGTTTAGAGCCGCTTGGCAGGTATTTTTTGAGAGATTGGCCATGGCCAAGGTGGAGAGATGTTGAGAGCTTGAAGCTCTGCGAAGAAAAGAAGTTCAACTCCTCTTTGGTCCCAAAAAGCTGAGGAGTTGTCGAAAAGCATCTCCTCCAATGCCACAGTGGTTCCGTGGGTGGATGCCGAACAGCCATTGACCCGATCGTCCTTGCAAATCTACGTGAACCCCGTCCTTGAAGCGCGGCTTCTCGTCCAACACCTGACCAGAACCATACAATTCAAATAGCTTTATATATATATATATACATATAGTTTAAGCTTCCTGCATTCTTGCCTTTTCTCGGTGAAACTGAAGTTATTTTCACCGGCGTCCAGATCTGGAGCGCCTTTTTTTCACATGATCGTTGTTCATTTTCACATGTTATATACAGCGTCTTTCAGTTATCACATGGTATTTACCGCGGTTTTCTTGTTCTACACGTATCCATGGTTGAATCCACATAGAAAGGGTCAACACAACATTACCAGCCGAATCGCCGAATTGGGCTGACCGAAGAAGCACTTTCCTACCGAAGGATCCATCGCGAAACCGAAGAGCTGGCAAGTAGTGTTTAAACCACGCACGACTACAACCACAATGGTGCAAGCCAAATGCATGAATTCTTCGGAGTCCTTGTTCTTTTTATCCGGATTGGACGTCATCGGCCAGCTCCCCAAGAAAAGGGAAACCCAACATTAGAAGAGATCATCATCGAAAAAAGCGGCAAAAGAATCGCTCAAAGCTACGATGCGGGGCCATTGTGGCACCTGGCCAGTGTGGCGAATGAGAAAAGGACGCAGGGAGAGATGGAGCTAAACTCCAAGAAGATTCTCCTTTCACAACTGTTTGACGTCATATTCGAGCTTCATTCAACTCATGCATGAAGTCAATGTTTTGAGCTGCAAAATTCCAATCGTGAACACGATTTCAGAAAAACTTCAATATACATGAATCACGGCTCACAAGCACGTTTTCATGTTTACCAGTACTTGAGTCTTGACTCAAGATGTGTTCCCAATTTTGTTCATTGAGTTGGCCCTGGCGCATGTTCAATTTAGAGCCATTTCAAGAAGATTGTTTGGTTCAACTGCGTTTGCCAAAAGTGGTTGGTTGTCTTCATTTGCATGAGGCTTCGCCAGCACATGCAAGCCGCCTACCTTTGCGCATGGCCCGAAGGAGGTGCGAGTGAATGCGTGCCCAGGTCCGCAACAAGAAGAGAGACGAAACGCTTCGTGATCTTCATGTGAGATGCTTATGAAGGTCTTGTGAGAGACTTTGAGAGGTCGTTGAAGAGCAAAGGTCATAAGATTGACCGAGCGTGCTTAGGTTTGCGAGCTTCAGCGAAACGAGGCGAATGGCTTGCACGCTCCTGATCTCAAATTGGACATGAAAGAAGATACCATGATATATATATATATATAGATCAAGATGATAAGGATCATTTTGTGGCATCAACGCAACGCTTTCACACCACCAGGATGTTCTTTTCTGACCATTTGCCAGACTTCATGGCCAGTCCAAAAAGTTGAACCACAACCTTCGGTCCTCCAACTTGCGGTTTGGAATTTTTGAGGTCGTCGAACGCTTGGCTTCATTGCTGCCCGCGGCTGCCTTCGAACAGGTGATGGCGATGCAGCTGGGCATGGAGCGCCGCTGCCCAGCGACTGCCATCCTGGATGCTCGGTTTCAAATCCACTAGGTCTATGTGAAACTCAAAGTCAGAACTGGAGGTGCACGGCATGTTGCCTTGTTGAGCGATGCAGCAGCAGATGCCAGGATGGTCTTTAAAATTGCAAATGAATTGCAATTCTTCTTAAAATACAATCTGATGTCCTTTTCTTGCATGAGTTCAGGATGCTCTCCATATCGCGCTGCTGCTTTTGGTGGTCGTGGTCTTGATGACCGTGATAGAAGCTTTATGGGGCATGAAGGCTGCTTCTCAAGGCCCCGATGGGGGGCAGTTCACAGATGTGCAGCTTCATAGGCATATCTCTATGACTCTATGATCTAAATACTTGCAGAAACTCATACCAGCAACAGCGTTGCCATTCACTAGCTGCACTAGCTGCTGAGAGAGAAACGATGTTTGAGCACGATGTTCAATGGGTGTGATGCAAGCAGTTGGTGTTTGCACGTTGAACGTGGCACAAATGCGCACGAAAGGAGAGATCAGCAACACACCAGAGTTGCCAGAGGAGTTGGTGCCTTGGTGTGAAGGCAGCATGATGATGCTGTGAAATCCGCAAAAGGATAGTAACCGGATAGTAGAGAGGTGGAGTCTTGCTCAAAGATACCTTCTTTGCTTGCTCAAGTCTCAGGAATCTGAGACAGTCGAAGTGGAAACGAGTGGTTTCTTGCCAGGTTCTTCGGGTTCTAATTCAATACAGTTGTTCAATCCTCTGGACATCCCAAATCACCCGCTTTTTGAGTTGAGGCGAAACTGGTGCAACTGAAAACCTCGTGGGAGCACTTCAAAATCGGCTTTGGTTGGAGTGCCTTGGATCCCAAAGTCTGGGGTGGATGTGACCAATGCGTGCTGGTCGCTTCCTGGTTTCAGTGGCCTTTTCTTCGGACATTTTTTACTGATCAGCAAGCTGTTTGGTGATATCCATTTCACCCTAAACCCTGACACCGTTCGGTGGTGCTAGCACCTAAAGCAGAAGAACTGGGCGATTTGTCGACAGTCCTTGTCATGCGTTTTATCAGCCAAGGTGCTGGGTTCGTGAGTTGCCTGATGTCACTACAGACGGCTACTTTGGCATCTATCACCAAGTCTGATGTCTCCGAGGTCATGGTTTGGCTGGTGACTTTCTTTCCATGCCTACTCGCAATTTTGGCTTCGTTCAGACTTCTCAACCTTCTCTGCAAGAAGCAGCTGGCACACTTGTGCTTGAGACAGAAAGTGCAGCTGACCACACCGGGCGTATCGAAAAGAATAGACAGGATTCTGGCCGTTGGGCTTGCAGTCTATGCGCTCATGGTGGTGGGATGTGCTGCAACCGTCGGCTGGCGAGGAGTCCAGGTCGTTCTCGTGGCGCTCATTGGCCCTACATGGACTTTGGTGAAAGCTTTATCAACAGCAACTGAGTTAGAGGAGCAGCTCAAGCAAATCCAAGTTCATTGCGAAACCCTGTGGAGTGGCACCAAGGTTCCAAAGGTCAAGCAAGTGACCTGGAATGCCATGATCGCAGAGGCCCGTTCGGGGAAGGTCTTCTGGAAAGTGCTGGAGTCTTCCACATCGGAGGATGAAGATCAAGAAGATCATGACTTCAACCTGCTGCGCGATTTCACTTGGCACCGCCGAGCCGTTTGGAGAGACGCATCAAAGTCTGGTTTCTTCATCGTTCCTGGATTTGCTGCAGTGATCAGCGCCTTCCTAGGCGTCTCGTTGCTTCAAGGAAGCCTGTATGGATGCTCCGTGGGTCAGCTCTCCAACCTGCAGCTGGCGACCGACCTCCACTCTCTGCACTTCCAACCATACCAGCGCAAGTACTCCGTGTTCATGGACACATCCTTCAACCAGGCAACGGGAGAACAACCACTTTGCTTTCAAAAGACTGTCTTGTTGGAATTCGTTCTAGCATTCAGTCGAGTTGTCACTTGAGGTTTTCGATTTCGTTTCGAACCATGAAGAGATGGTAAGTACATACCTGAAGCCCTTTTGATCAAAGAAGAAAAGAACGCCTACCGTTCTTTGTGTAGGTTATGAGCCCAACGCACCTTTGAGTGCTGAGGGTTCTCGGTGTTTTTTTCCACGTGAGTGGAGCAATAGCCATGAGCGAAGAGGCATCCCTTGAAAAGACCCCTGAGAGTGGAGAAATCAGGGCCTTGGAAGATATCCCAGCGTCGGCGGGCGCGATGACTCGACCAGTAGGTCAGCCTACTGTCCTGGGTCCGGCGAATTGGAACCCTTTTTGGAGCGAGGGGTTGAAAGATTAAGCTATCCTTCGTGCCATTCGCCCCCCTGGATTTACCTTCGGATTCCACTGAACTCCTCCCAGGTGGTACTCCCAATGCTAGTCCACCAACAGAAGGACAGGAGGCGGTGAAGGCCTTTGTCCAGGGCTTGATCTCCGAGAACGCATGCCTCTGGAGTGAGCGCGAAGCCTGGAGTCAGAATTCAGGCCCCTGGGGACATCAGCTGCCGGATGGTGGGCCTAGGGAGAAAGCTTCGTGGGGCCTTCGGTGGGTCCTGGTATGCCTATGGATGGTGGGATCGCTGGCAAGTGGTGGCTCGAATGGTGCGCTTTTTGGTGGGGGCGCTTTCCCGGGTGACTATGGGATTCCTCCTCAACACCAAGGTGGCCCAAGGACGAGCCTTATGGAAGTGTTCAACAGAGTTTCTTCCGTAGCGGCTGGAGGTTTCATGCAATCCATGCTGCCAGGTATGACGGACGTCTCTCGTGCTTTGACCAAGGCAGGTGCTTCTGTGAGGGAAGTCTCGTCTTCGCTGGGAGCTGGGCCGAGCAACTATGAGAATGAGGTCTCGAAGGGTGGCACAGGTTCAGCTCAAGGAGATCAGGGACAAGATCATGGGAAAACATCCTGTGCTCCAGGTGAGGCCACTAGCGAAAGAGATCCATCGGTGCGTGAGTCTGGTGGGGTCGTGAGTGGTGGGGGGGCTCAAAAGCAAGGGAACTTCAGCGGCTCGGGGGCCTTCCCCTCTCCAGGCTTGCATGGTGGAGGAGGTCTTCATGGAGGACCACCGGGGAGTGCTTTTCCTGGTGGCGGTGGAGGCTTTCAAGGGCATCCATATGGAAGTGGTTTCTCGGGAGGCGGAGGAGGTCTTCCTGGTCCTGGAGGAGGAGGCAATCCTGGCGGGGGTTTTCCTGGCAATCCCGGTGGTGGTTTTCTGGCAATCCCGGCGGTGGTTTTCCTGGCCATCCAGGTGGAAGCGATCCAGGAGCGCCCTATGCAGGCGTGCCGGCTTGGTTGGGGGGGTCTATTTGCCCAGCAAGAGTCAGTGAGAGCAGTTGACCTTCCAGCCCTACAAGAACTCTCCGAGTCAGAGATTGGTCCGTTGATTGCTGGAGATTGGTTGACCACGGTGGGACCCTTCTTGCGTGATATGAGCTCCAGTTCCTCTATGTGGTGGGATGAGGTTCTCAATGTGGCAGGGAATCTCTATAGAGTCTGGTTGAACTCAGAGCCAATGGAGCGTTTGCGCTTGGTTCCTGTTGCTCCTCCTGCGTTTTAACGTCCTCCATGGCTTCGCATCGAGCAGCGTGGGTCGGTGGCATTGCTCAAGGCCATTCCAGAATCATTGCGTGCGGAGCTGGTCTCTCAACGGGAGGTGGGATCGGTGAGCATCATCTTCAAGATCTTGAGGGTGTACCAGCCTGGAGGGTTGGGGGAGCGCACAGCTATGCTTCGTTTGGCGTCGCTTCAACACTGGGACTGCCTATCGCTGGATGTGAAGTCAGCATTCCTTCTGGCTCCAAGGGCACAAGGGGAGACGGTGATTGTCAAACCTCCTCGAATTCTGGAAGAAGCTCATCTAGCCCAACCTGGTGAACATTGGTTGGTTACTTCAGCTATGTATGGGTTGGTGACGTCCCCAAAAGACTGGAGCTCATTCCGTGACGCAGAGCTGCAGAAGATGGTGGGCACCTATGAAAGCCAAGGGCAGGGAGAGGAGAGCCACATGGGCCGCTTCGCCTTCAGGCCAATGGAAGATCCGAATCTCTGGGCCCTTCAGGAGTGCTCAAGGGAGTTGGAGGGTGAAGACCGGAAGTGGGGCAAAGTCCTGGGGCACATGATCGTGTATGTCGACGATGTCCTTATGGTGGGGCCCAAGGTGATCACAGATGCTGCATCTGCTACCGTCCGGGAGCCTGAGTATGCGGAGGTGGGGGTGAGGTTCCTGGGCATCGAAATCCAAAGACTCAGGGATGGTTCCTACTTCTTGCACCAGGAATCCTACGCTCGGGAAGTCATTGATCGACGCCCTGAGACAGGCTCAGCTCGCTTCATCAAGGTCCCGGAGGACAATGAGGAGGAAGAGGCTCCCTGCCAAAGGTCAGAGAAGCTCAAAAGGTGACCGGGGAGTTGCTTTGGCTCTCAGGCAAAACACGCCCTGATCTCGCATGGGCAGTGATGAAGATGGCTCAAAGTGCGGTCAGGCGACCACGGTGGACGGTGGAGCTTGGAAGGGCAGTTCTGGCCTATGTTCGACAGTCCTTGAACTTTGGCCTGCACTACACCAAGAACGTGCTACAAGACTCTGAGCTAGATTTGCAGCGTCCTCAACCTCGGCATGCTGGTACATTGGAAGTCTTGGTTGAAGCTTCCTTTTCACCAGGTGATGGTCACAGTGTGTCAGGGACAATAAACTTGCTAGCTGGATGTCCTGTACAATGGGAAGCTCGCAAACAGAGTCTCATGGCTTTGTCCACGGCAGAGGCCGAGCTTAGGGCCATAGTCAAAGGGCTGCAGACGGGAAGGTCTGTTATGCCTTGATGGAGCTGCTGTTTTCCAAGGATGATAAAGCTGCATCGTGGGCAGATCAAGGTTGGATCTGTTGCTGGCGGGCTTGGTGTACCTTCTGCACTTCTTGAAGGATTTGGGCTGGGAGCTTTTCAAGCGACAGTCCATGAAGGTCACCCTCCTCAACGATTAGGCGTCGTTGCCAGTCAAAGGCGCTCAGGAGCTGCAGGATGGGGTTTGGTGCCTCCCCCAGGTTGCTATGGGAGGATTGCTCCTCGAAGCTCGATGGCCGTTCGGGGCGTAGACGTGGCGGGCGGAGTGGTGGACGCAGACTTCAGGGGAGAGGTGAAGATCATCCTGATCAATAACAGCTTGGAGCCTCTCACGGTGAATGTGGGGGACAGGGTTGGTCAACTCATCCTGGAAAGGATTGCCCACGTGAAGGTTGAGAAGTCTTCCACCCTCTCGGTGACAGAGAGGGGATCAGCGGGGTTTGGCAGCACTGGTGCGGGTGCTCCTTCGTCCTCAGCTTCAAGGGAGGAGGTCGCCTCCGTTCGTCGAATGTCGGTGGAACCTGAAGGACTCTCCAATCGGGATCAACCTCGTCCGGATCTTCAGTCGGTGGGTCCACATGTCTTCTTCGACGGGGTGATGTTTGCAAAGCAAGATGAAACTCTGCCTCGATTCATTCGAAGGCTGAGGGAAGGAGAATTGGCCAATTTCCCGTGGATGTTTCCGGACTCCCTCATCGATTGTCTCGAGTGGCCGAGCCAAAAGTGTCCCACTACGCTCAACGTGGAGGTTCTCCAGGGCACCCTCAACATCCTGGTCTACCACCACAGCGACTGGCGGAAGAAACTCTATGACACGGAAGTCGGGGCACCTCCGTCTAGCGATGGGATCACGGCTGGAGTGGTCACGCTTGGCAAGCTGGATGATGGGCGGGTCTTCGCTCGTGTGGACAACAGGCGTGGAAACCGCGCTATGGGTTACCTGAAGCAGAATTGGTGTGGTGTCAGCATCTTTTACTCCATGGCTGGCAGCAGGATCCTTTCGTGCTAAGTGGTGCTCGAGGGTGGCATGGCTGAGAGGGGAGTGGATAGCTTTTCGCTTTGTTCAGGCCTCGAACAGTATGGGACTGTCGTCACTGGCCAGGACTTTTAGGTGAGAAGAGGCATTTTTCAAGCCTTCTTTAGCTGTGTGGCCCATCGGATTACCGAGAATCCAGAAATCTGGGGGCTTGAGTCAAGAAAAAGACACTCGACTTCCTGCGAACCCAACAGAGTTGGGAGGGGAGAGCATTCAGTCGAGTTGTCACTTGAGGTTTTCGATTTCGTTTCGAACCATGAAGAGATGGTAAGTACATACCTGAAGCCCTTTTGATCAAAGAAGAAAAGAACGCCTACCGTTCTTTGTGTAGTTCTAATTGGCAACATAGCTACAAGTAAGGAGTAGCGACAGTTGTACTTTCTCGGTGTCCTACTTGTTCGTGTTGTTGGATGGTTTCACTGCGGCCCCCTTCCTCAGGTCGCTGTGCTGGGCACTGCGAAGGTATCCGCCACACGATTCATATCCTTCCAGCAGCCGGAGAGCGCTGCCAGCAACGCCAGCGCGACATCGAACACAACAGAGAAGTTGAACGATGAGGGCGTCGGTCTTGAAGAAATCCAACTCTCACAGGTTCCTCGTCACTGTAGCAGATCAAAGAAGTTTCATGTTCGTTCATGTTCCGAGAACTGGAACCAAATGCGCTCATTCTATCCGAAAGTTCACGTTCCTTCCGGCGTCGTCAGAATCTTCGATTCGGAACCGAGGCCTTGGTACCCAGAATCGCCACGGTCCGAGTGCAGGGTGTACGACCCTCGTTGGATCCGACCGAGTTCGCCATCCGCTTTTCGCCTCTTCGTACCTTGCCCTTCCTGGTGACCCTCACGGCAGACAGTTTCAGTGTGACTCGGCTGGCAGGAGCTTTGATGAAGAGAGCTGTAGAAATGAGTTTTCTGAAGCACGCGTGGATCCCTTGGATGTTTTGAAAGTTCGGTATGGATCGTCTTAAGCGTTTCAGAAATGCTGTCCCATGGAACGAATTAATCTTTGTGACTAAGTGTAGGTGGAACGAAGCATGTCTTCTTGGGTCCCTGAATTGTTGCTTCTCTGAGGCCAAAGTTGCTTGGTCCACCTTGCCTGGAAGCATCCTCAGCCTGCCGGAAGGCGCCAGAAGCCCAAAACTCTTCAAAAAATGTTGCTTGTGGACTCACAAGTACCGTCCAGGTAATGTGCAGACGCGCCTGCAGGGGAAAACTGAGCCCCGAAGAAGGCACAACCCAAAACGGACCTATCAGAGTCAGATTCACTCCTTTTTATGGAGGTTGAAGGAGGTTTCCTTGCAAGGATGTTGTTGAAGCTTTACAGGTTCGCATCTTTTTGCCGTTGGTCATTTTCAGTGAATGCCACAGATGGTTGTGCCTCGTCGCCGAATTCACCTCAATCGGACGACGCAGGCCTTGGAAGCTTTGATATGACAGTAACGTTGGTGGATTTTCATCTGGGCCTTCCAGTCTGCAACGAATCGAAACTCGAGACCTTGCAATGGACAGTCTTTGAACAGCCACTTTGGCTTGGAGGGATTGGCGCAGTTTGTTTCCTGCACTGGTGCACTGGTGCACTAGTTTCATTGGTTCAGAAGAGACATCGTGTCGTTTTTAAAGTTTGGCCTCTCACTTGGCATTGGTTGCCATTTTGAGGCGCCACGACAACGAAAGTTGTGATTCCCGCTGCAACGACGAGCTCTACTGCTTGGCTTCCTTCCGGGGCCATGGAGGATGCTACTTTGCCTTCAACAACTACCAGAGTCGGGGTCTCAGTCAGACCATAAGTCAAATTAGGAAGGGATTGGTTCGAACTTGTTTTCGGGGTTGACTTGGCTCTGTCGTTTCTTTACGTCATACATTGTCATACCACAAGTCCGTGTTCATCCATGGCAGTAATCGGGGTGTTCTTGCGATTAGCGGGGTACGAAGTCCTGTCCTTGTGGCCTGATGTTCACCTAGAAAACGTTGCTTTCCTTCAACTAAGTGATCAGTAAAGATTCAGTTCTGTAAGTGTTTGCAGATTTCGACAGCCACACACTGACAGGTTTGGAGTCGGGCGGCTCGATCTCGGAAGCCTCGCTCTCCGGCAGCTTGCGGCGGCTCAGTGGCTCGCTGTCCGGCTGCGTCCCAGACTGCGGCCAAGCCCTGAAAGCTGAGCGCCTCGGATATGATGTGTTTTGCTGCTTTTGGCTGATTGGTTGTTGAGCCACGGTTGGCATGGTTCAGCACTGACTGGTGCTATTCGGCTATCGGTCGCGCGAACGAAGGCAGCACAAGATCCACTTCCGTGGAATCCATCCCGATTGGCAGGGCAACTCTGGTCAGTTGACTTTTGC